TTTTTTTTGCTACTTTGGAATAGGCAAGGAAGTAAGCACAGAGGCTAGCCCAGCAAGTTGTCACCGCTCTATAGTACAAGTCGTATTACTAAAAAGGGGAGCCTCAGTCAAGCTGTAAACTGTCCCTGAAGGAACATACTTGCTGCCCCGTCCTGGAGAGACCATTATAGCCATCAAGGAGGAGTTTTCACACTGTATTTGCTCCTGAGCAGTCCTCAGAGTGGGAGCTGGGGGATCCCTACGGCTCCTCCAGACTTTCCAAAACACAAAAACAGCAGCAGAAAAATCCAGGACCAATTGCAATGATTAGCTTTTTCCTCACTGCACATTTCCTACCTTCTCCTTTCAGTTCATCTCCTTTCTCGCACTTTCCTTGTCCCTTCCCCCACTTTCCTCGTCCCTTCCCCCAAGAGCAGGAAGATCAGAAACCTCATCATAATCACCTGCTGAGATTTTGCCACAGTCAAAACCCCTCTTAGGAACCCCTGGGGGAAGCCATTGACCTGAGTTCACCTGGCCTTTGCCCAGGAGCACTTCACTCTGCTAATGAGATTGCAAAGCCCTTGGGAAGTGGTGGTAGTTGAGGCTGGATGTAATAATCAGCTTTGTAATCCCTAGAGGAGGATCAGGAGTGGCTCAGTGGCTGGACCTGACTTCACTAATGCCATTTTCCTCTTCCTAAGCAGTATATTTTGTTTGTATTTTGTTTTAAAGTTTATATTTATTAAGTGCTTACTGTATGCCAGGAACTGTTCCAAGGGGTTGGCATGAATTAACTCAGTTCTCATAATAAGCCTATTTAGTAAAAACTATACCCCATTTTACAGATGGGAAAAGCGAGGCACAACTAACAGGGATTTGAACCCAGGAAGTCTGGCTCCAGAGACTGAATTCTTAACCATTTAAGCAGTTAATATATATTAAGTATCTGTTGGGTGCCCGGTGCTACACTGAGCACAAGCTACACAGAAAAATAATCCTTCAAGAAAACAAGACCTTTATGTCACCATGCAAATGTCAAGTCAAACAAAAGACCAGAAATGTTCTTTATTACTGATAGTATCTCACAAAAACATTGTGAGAACCACTGAACTCCATTCTGTAAGAATAAAATAGATCCCTTCTCCTCTCCATGCCACCTTCAAGAGCTCTGCCTGTGTTATGACCACAGCGGTGAATGGTGACGAGCGTGGCCAGGGATAGGGATTTAGCCAGTAAAGGTACTGTGAGAGGAGGGCAACGTCAACTGAGTAATTATACGAGGGGATTCGAAGGCCCCCTAACAGGTATGCAAATATACAGATTATTAGGCTTTGTCCCTGGAAATTCCGAGTCAGTCAGTCTGGTTTGGTGTCTAAAAATCTGTTCTGTATAAAGCACCCAAAGTCGTTCTTGCCTTCAGATCAGTTGGGGATCACTTTGTAGCGACTTGACCTTTGGTGCTGCAGCTGCCACACCTGGCCCCTCCTGAAAAGACACCTAGGGAGCCTGTGCCGCCTCTTCATAGGTTCTAGGGGGAAGGCCCCACACTCTGGGGAAGTTCTGGTGGTACCAGGGGCAGCAGGGAGTTCTTAAGGGCACTATGGTGACGGATGGAACCGGGCCTTTTCTCACTAGCTATCCTCAGAAACCGGGAGTCTGAGGGAGAGGGCTTGCTCTTGGGGGCCCTCACCTTAATCTACTATCCTATTGCCCAGAGCACCTTCTACCTTCTAAAGATTCCAGATGACATGAGGCCCAGACCTGGCCCTGACCTGGCCCATTGGCAGGTGTGATAAGCCCTTGGATGGAGAGGTTCTCTGGGAGTCTGAGGTCAAGAATTTGAAAATAACTAGAATGTGCTGCTCTCTGACCCCAAGTAACTCCAATCTTGCCGTTTGGCCAGAGGTGGACACGGTTAACAGATAGTTTGAATCTAAGAGAGGTGTGAAGAGAGGGCCAGGGAAGCACAGAAGAGTGAATAGTTAAACCTATATGGAAGCACAAGTGATATTGAGAGCTGATTCTTAAAGAATGAATGAATAGAAGCTCAACAGATGGGGAAGGAAAAGTCATTTCAGGCTTTTCTGCCTTATGTTTCTTCTTTGCGGGAAACATCCTCCCTTACCTCACAGTAATCCTGCTTAGTCCTTGAAATTCAGGTGACACTAACTCTGTTTTCCTTTCCTTGTGGTGGGTAGATGACCCAGACTGCCATCTACAGGACCCAATCCCCTGAGTGACTTTGGGACAGGTAGAATAGACAGACAGGTCAATCAGAGAACTGTCTAGGAGTCATGCTTATGCACTGGGAAAGCCACTCCCACTTCCTGAGGAATTGTTGGTACAAAGATAACCACAGAGGGCTGTGAGTTGCCGACACATCACCAAATGAAGAGGGCCTGGCCGAGATGGAAGAGGGTGGAGGCAAGCGTCAAGGTTGAGATGGAGGGTCTCATGGTAGTATTCAGTTCCTAGATCCTCTGAACTTCTGAGTTATGTCAACCAATAAATTCTCTTTTTTGTTTAAGCAAAAATGCTCTAACAGCATTTGCTAAGGGTGGAATCAAGAGAGGTCAAGGTATGCCTGAGAGTGGTGAAAGGGACAGAGTAGAGCCCAGATGTGTGAGTGAGCAGTGGCTGGGAAGGTGGGCTGGGTAGGTTTGGAAGAACTTGTATTCCTTGCAGACTGAGTCACTAAGATTATAAGTGTGAAAGTGATGCCGGCAGATGCGTGTTTGGAATGTAGCTTTGGTGTCAGTGTGGAGAAATGCCTGAGCCAACAAGGACTGGACCCTGGAATCTAAGAGAAAGCAGTTAGAAGAGGCTGGAGGACAAAAGACAAGGCCTCTGGGCCTCAGAGAGCCTGGAAAGCAAGAGGTAGAGCTGAGAGATATTTGGGAGATAGAGCAGACAAAACTCAGTGTGATACTGTGCTTTATAATAAGAAATAATATTTGGCTTTCATCCCTGTTTCTGGCGCAAAGCTCATAAAATCCTTAGAACTTCCTGTGTGATGAGCACCAGGAAGGTGTCTTTGTTATGTTAATTGTGACTTTTGGAAAGTCCCCTAAAATGGGGGCTGGTTGCCAGGAGAACCAGGTGATTAGAGGGTTGGAAATTTCAGTCTCCCCCTCCCCTCCCCTACACCACTCTCCTGGGAGGGGAGAGGTTTGGAGATTCAGTTCAATCACCAAAGCCCAGTTATTTAATCAATCATGCCTCTGTAATGAACCTCTATAAATCCCAAAATTATGTGGTTCTGGGAGCTTTCGGGTTGGTGAACACATGGATATGTGGGGACGGTGGCTTCAGAAAGGGCTTGGAAACTGCACTCTTTCTCTATGGAAACTGCACTCTTTCTCTATATCTTGTCGTATGTATGTATCTCTTCCATTTGGCTGTTCCTGAGTTATACCCTTTCATAGTAAACTGGTAATGTAGTAATTAAATTGTTTATCTGAGTCCCTTTAGCTGCTTTAACAAATTAATCAAACCCATTAAGGGGGTCATGGAAACACTGATCTGTAGCCAGTTGGACAACCTGGATTAGCGATTGGTGTTATGGGACTGAGTCCTTAACCTGTGGGATGTGATACAAGCAATTCTCAGTTCTGACTGAGTTGAATTGTGGGATACCTAGCTGGTGTTGGAGAATTGCTTGGTGGTGTAGGAAAAACCTTGGGCTTTGAATAGGGTACAGAATTATCCTCAGTGACTGGACAGAACAGAGGCAGTAGCGGAGTCAGAAGGCAGGCTCTGAATTCAGGCACACCCAGATCTTGATCCTGTCTAACGCTCTGGGATTGGATCTTATTTAATTTCTTTAAACCTCAGCTTCTGCATCTGTAAAATGGGAATAATAATAGTGCACACTTCAAAGAGCTGTCGTGAGGATTAAATCAGCTAATGTATGTGGGAACCCGAGAAGAAAGATCTGTTTGATGTAAACCCTGAAAAGGAATTGATCTGCTGCGCCAAGTGACTATTTGCTGACAGGGGCTTCTTACGTGCTCTACAGAGCACGCCAGGAAGAACCTTGGACTGAACCCTCAGCTATGCCCAGCACTCAACTATTACAAAGAGTTCCTGGTTTCTTCTTTCAGCCAATGGACTAAGACCTGCCCCATCCAATCAGAACTGCTCCATAACAGCCAAGCAGGACACATCATGCCAAACAATCAGGACTGAGAGATTTGGGCCAATCAGTACAAATTTGGATACCTCATTTACATAAAAAGGATCTATTTGGGAATGCAGGCAGGAACTTTCTCTATAAAAGGAAGCCTCCCCTCTTCCTCTGTGGAGCACAATTAAGATAGCTACCGGATCTGTGTTTCCCGGGCTGCTTCTCCTATTGCCCAAATAAATGCTTTTTAGAAATTTTTCATTACAATCTAAAATTAATTTATATATATAAAGTCACTTAGCCCAGTGCTTGGCACAAAGTATAAATTATAGCTGTTGTGTGGAAGGGGAAGAAGAAAGACAATTAAGGGTGACCCTGAAATCTCTAGCTTGAGAATTTGGAAAAATGCTGAGGACAGTAATCAGGATAGGAAATGCCAGAGGAAGATAAGTTTTATGGGAAGGGAGAACACAAGTTGTTCTGGGGTCTATTGAGTCTAATGTGCCTGTAAAATCTGAGAGTGGGAAAGTCTAGTAGTAGGCAGTGGGACCTCAGACTCGAGGTTTGGTGGAAACTGGCTAATGATGGCTACTGAAGCAATGGTAGACAGGAAAGGGTTGAGGGCAGACACAGACTCTTCAGGTCTGCAAGGAAGGAGGAGTCAGGGAGCTGTTAGGAGGCAGCAAATGTACAGAGGGAACGGCTTTAGGTGTGGATAAACTGTCAGAGGACAGGATCCATCTCTGTTGTGGGAGCTGTGGAAATTCTTGTTTCTTCATCACAGAAAATAAGAGCTGAAACCCAAGACCACTTGACTTGCTAAGAAATCTCTGGCCCCACTCACAGAGCTGTCTTCAAAGGTGTGGCCCTCAAGTGGCTTGCTGCCCCTTACCTCTAGGAATCGATTAGCCAGGCCTAGGGCATGATCAGTGAAGTTAAATATGTCTCTCCAGTCGAAGTTGGCCATGTCGTCAGCTTGGCTCTCTCGAGGACCCTTATACAGGAAGTTCAGCGCAGCTTCGGCAGTAATACCTTCTTCACCAAACTGCTTATTCAAAAAGCCTTTTACTATTGGGTTTGCCAGGGTGTCCTTGGGAAGAAGCAACACAGTCGCAGCATTTAGGTATTCCACAGAATCTTTGGCCCCGTTCTTGGGCCACCGCAATTTTTAACGACTAAGGATAGAGACTCTAAGGCTTCCTACAAAGCCAGTGCTTTTTCTTCTATCATAAGACATACCTATTTACATCCCATTTCCCCTAAATATACAGGTCTCTATACGAAGGGAAGACATGTATGTTGGGGGTAGGGGCAGGAAAAATGGTATACAGAAAGCTTTTTCTTATTGATCTTTTTGTTCTCTTTTACTTATCTCATCTTTAGGACTCTTGTCTACTGGCTTTGCACAGCTGGAAATGAGTGCAGAGAGACACACTCAAGCATCTTTGCGGTTACAGAGCTGGGCCCTTAGGGAAATGCCCCTTTGAATCGGAGTTCTTCAAGTGAATCAATAAAAGCAAGAAACTTTAGTAAGCCACCGGTCTTGTGGCAGTTTTTACAGTACCCCCAGAATTCAAGAAATGTATTTCCCACCCAAAGTCAGTGACTCCACTTGGCGACAGCTTCTAGAACTAGTGCCTTTGGGCCTTGCTTATTATATTTTGATCTAACTCCAGTAGCGATTAACCCTTTGCTGGGAAAAGGAACGTCCTCGGCCCTCCTCCTCCCCTCTCCCCACCATCCGTACTCGGATCGTGGTCATCTGTGTGCTCTTGTCAAAGAAGTACCAGATCTGGGGCCCCACTTCTTCCCAGGCTTTGACCAACTTCCTAACACGCTCCAGCTCTTCAAAAGTTGAGTTGGCCTAAAACCAGACAGTGATAGACAGAGAAAAGAACGGAGAGAACAAAAGTGTCAGAGAACCTTTCATTGTGTCTTTCCTACTCATGTCACAAACTCTTAGTGTGTAGAAAGGCTTTTCAAGGACACATCTTAGTTTTCTTAGTCTACTGATATTTTCCAGAACAATCTGCTATTTCCCAGCCTCCTCAGTTGACAGAATCTGATTACATAGTATCTCAGAGGTACATGTAATATCGACGATGCTATTGTCTCAGAACCCCATTAAAGCTAGATTTGGACTCTCTATGAGCAAATGCTATTCCTTCCTTTCTCCCTATTTGTCTATTTCAGGTAGGTAAGATTCAGAGAATGTGCACCCTGCCATTAGGGATATAATTCAGGGGCTGGGAAAGAACCTCATTGTAGGCACTGTGGAAAGGAGAGGACCCAGGCAGCTAGCTCTCTCGCTCTCTCTCTCCCTCTCTCCCTTTCTCCCTTCCTCCCCCACCCCTCTCCTGGGTGGCCCAAGGTAGAAGGGGCAAGACCAGCTCAGACCTTACATTTTTCAGTATACTGCGTGCTGCTGGGGAATCCGGAGTAAAGAGGATTTTTCCCATTAACAGAGGCTTTGCTGCCCTCCATGCTATTTTGGTTAGAGGGTTGGACTCCAGGCTCTGGATCAATGCATTACAAAAGGTCGCTGCCAGAAAAGAAGGGACAGATTTTATCGAAACTCCTGTTGCTCGAACTAAACATGGTCATTAGTGTGTTCAAATCACATCTCTTATTCAACTCTGTGCTGGAGGATTTGACAAATCACCTAAATTAATAGGCCACACTCCACCAATAACAAGCTCATCATTAGTAACAAAATGCCACAGTTCATCTCAATAAGGGCCTCATCAGAGAAACAAAGGATGGGGCTTGCCCTGTGGTTTATTCCGCCTTAGAAGAGGGAGGCTGAGAAGCCTGCTTGTGATTATAGCGAGGAACAGAGGGCGTTCTGAGATGAAAGGGACCGAGAGACCATATGAGGCCTCTCCTTGGAATCTCAGCTTTAGTTTCAATGATTTCCCTTCAATTAGCTGCTTAACTTCGGTTGTATGTGGCTATCTCCGGGCCCAACGACTTTTGGTACGTGCCTTGCTGCCTCTTTAATGTTTAACTAGAGGGCCACCCAGCTGTATTTCTTCCCCACCCCACTCTCCTCTACCCCACAGGAGCCCCCTCCCCCACAAAAAATAGTGAAAGGTGGGAAAGAAAACTTGCCAGAGACTTGCACTTGGAATGTAATTCAGTACTACACACAGACTTTCAGTGCATTGTGTTTGTAAAAACATCCCACAGCCATGTTTACTTGCCAGGGCCCTTCTGACCTAAGCTTGGCTTGCAACTCCAGGCTGCCTCCTCATTTATCTTCCTTTTCTTCCTCTATAACGTAACCCCAGTTCAATCAGATCAGTGGGAAATGTCCTCTATGTTCCCTTTCCAAGTATGTCTCGGTTCGTTCCATGGCTCACATCCAGAACTCTTTATGCAACCATTCCCTTTCTATGAGGGGGAATAGATCCTCTGAGAGGAGAAGACTCTGCCCAAGGCCCCTCAACAGGACCAAAGGAGTGTCAACCCCGGAACTGGTTTCACCTGAAAGTGTTAAACCATCAGCTTAACTGACATCAGAGCCCGATTTATATACAGGACTCAGGAAACTTACTTGTTCTTTTGTCATAAGAATAGACAGGATCTTTCCTCATGGAGTCAATCCCCAGGAAGGCCTTATAGTTATTGTCTTCATACCAGTTGAAGGAGAACACCCGAGAGCCTCCTCCTTCTGGGTAGCCGCATAAGAGGTCAGACAGGATGCCCGCCAGCTGTGTGAAGGTGTCTGGACCGCCAGTCTGCATGAGGGGCCTGGTCACCCACAGCAAGTCTTGAACACTCGGTCGATGGATGAACTAGGGCAAGGCAAAGGCTTTGGGTTACTTTAGGCAGTCAGAGTCGTAATCCACTGTGAAGCCAAAGCTCCAAAGTATGGGAAGATGTCCACATATGTGTTCGACTTCCACATTTAAAAGAATACATCCATATTCTCAGCAATCTTTAAGTCAGCTGTGAAATAAAACCCACTGCCATCCACTCAGGGCCAAAGAGGAAACTAGGACGAGCCTTAAAGAATGTAAAAGAGTAAACCCCAAAGCATTTTAATATCACTTCTCTCTTCTAGTCCCTTTTACTTAAATTCTTTGGGAATATGGCTTTGGGAAAATGTAGTGAATATTTCTCTGTTCTTGAGTTCTGTTATTCCACCAAGATGAGGACACTGGAAAAAATTGAAAAATAAAATGATATAGGAATGCCTCTGTCCTAGAAAGGTAAGGTCACAGCAAATTTCGTTGGCCAAATAGTTTAGAATTTAGTTTCTTATATTTGGAAAATTATCTTCTTATTAGCTTAATTTTACCATATATAAACTCTTCCATTTTCCTTTAATGTGTTGTGGTTTGTGGTTTCTCTCTTTGTGTGTGTGTGTGTGTGTGTGTGTGTGTGTGTGTGTGTGTGTGTGTGTTTTAAGATCCAAGCAAATATAGAACAGATGAAGTCTCCATACTTGGAAAAACACTTTGTTGTTTTGGAAAAACACTTTTAAAATTCCACACCCAACTAAGAAGAGGCTGGTGATCTCTTCTGCATATGGGCACTCATGGTACTCACTGGCCTCATCCTTTGAAGGTAGATCTGTAATGGTGAGAACTAAAGTTGAGGGCTGCCAGAGTTGCCAGGGTCTCACCTCCCATAATGCCATCTGGCTTTGCTTTAGGAGAAAATATAAATAAAAACAATGCTGCTTTTATTCCCCCAACATACTGTATTACTCATTTTTGAAGGCACTTTAGAATTTAAAAAACCATTAGGATTCAGTCAGGTGAGACTAAAAGAGTTCCTTTACTGCAATAAGTGATGTTTACCTGTCATCCCCTCTCTTTGTCCGCATGCCAACACTTGCTCTCTGAAACTATCGAGCGCTGTGTAGAATCTACAGAGTGAGTCATGCCTATAATCACAGTCTAGGCTTCAGTAGTAAAGTCGAACTCTCAAATTGCTTCAACTACAGTAAGTCTTATGACAGTCTTGTAAGGGATTATTATTATGTTGCTCATTAAATCAAAGCACTCAGAGATGAAGGGGCTGTTCCAGGGTCAAATGGTCTAGTATCAGTTAATATAAACTAGGCCATCTGCTTCAACCTGGCTCATAAGTGCTCAGACTTACTATCTAGGCAGGCAAGAAACCTTCTGGAACTCCCACACAGAATTATGCTTTGGAAATCAAACATCAAACCTATTATACTGACATGAATTTTTTAAATGCTTATGAAGAATGGTAAACAGAGACTCCCACTGCAGCAGGTGGCCATCAGTACAATGGGTGCTTCTCTAACCTTCCCTGCATAGCATTCTGCCCTAACTTTTCCTGCTCACACTCTGCTTAGGTTGAGCTTAGTTTTATGAAAGCAAATCCCAACCATGCAGTTTTCCAGGCTGGCTAAGCCCAAGTCAGCTGACAATACTGAAGGGGGAAAATGTTTGGGAAAATTATTTTCACCTTTTGCCTTCCTTTATAATACTCATCACACTTGAAGGTAATTGTTTATATCTCTTTACCTCACTGGACTGTATGTTTCACAAGGGCAGTGACCATATCTGTCTATTCATCATTATGTTCCCAACACCTCTCATCTATTGAGTGGAAAATCAATTTCTATATAGGCAAAGTCTTGTGCAACTGGATGTTAATTAAAACATGAACATCTTTCACAAAACAACACAAAAGAACCGTTATTTTTTTGTGATGAAATGAATCTGTATATGTATGATACTTAGTGCTGTAAACACTCAATAAATTGTGCTACTACTATTGTGTTATAGATTTTCATGAATTTTAAGAGCAAAATATAATAATATATCCCATCTGTACTAGAAAGACTTAGATTCAGTCCTCAGTCTGGTGACAATCCGTGCCACACTAGACAAGGTGGCATTTCTTTCTACACGTGAAATCAGAAGGTTGGTTCCCTACTTTGTGCCTCTGACTCAGGAACACAGATATTTTAGGAAATCAACAGGTGCTTTGAAATTGATAGAAAGATTAAATGTCTTTCTCCATGAACAGGTTTGAGGTACAATTAAATTGTTTAACATAATAAATTTGGTAAAATAGTAGAAAGATAAAATGAAATTATAATTAACTATCATCAGGCCGCTTACCTCTTGAATTCTTGGTGACAGATCAGATAATATTTTTCCCCAGGATCGCAGATTGATACCTTGGGAACTGCTGTCTAGGAGTGTAGGAAGCTGTAATTGATAGGCAAAAATATTTTAAAAAAATATAGATGCAGTTACACACACACATATCTGATCTCCTGTATGCTTGAAAAACATCTCCCTTCTTCCCGATAACAGGACCTTTTCTGCAAGATTGCTTTCAGAAACAAACTTCTTTTATCTGATTGAGAAAATCAAAGGCTCTTATTCCGAGTCACCCTGCTGAGCTAGTCAGTCACAAATAGTTTCATGGTGACATTAAATACGCCACAGTGATTCTGATTACTGGTTTAGTGACACCAAACAAGACTCCTGGAGGAAGGAAAACAGAGTGTAAAGGAAGGCTGCCTGCGGTGGTGCCCATCTGTTCACCTCTGGCTTTGTATATATTCTCAGGCTTCCTCATCATTGTTCACATCTTTGCTCTCTTTGTATCCTTTCATGCAGGTTGTGTTCCTTCCTCTGCTCAACACTACTTTCTTTTGTAAGAGATTCAACCAGTTACATCATCTTTCTTTTAAAGCTGCTGCTGGCTGCTTTAGAGAGAAATTCCCTTGCAGATTGTCCAGTAGGCAGTAGTTTTCTGGGGACTCCTGGCCCGTGGGACAACACAGAACTGTTTATGCATTTTCCACAGTGGTGGGGAAGGTGGAAGTCCACTTGCTGGCTCTAAGATCCAGGGCCTATTGTGGACACCTTGTTTTCCAGAAACCAAGTTCAAGTCTTGAATGAATGACTTCATTTTTCATAGTTTCAAAACTGATCGAATCACTGATCCTGTGTCTTTCAGGACTAAACATTGGTTTTCAAACTCAAGTGTGCATTTTGAGTAAACCTGGAGGGGAAAATGCATTTTAACAAGCGCAGCATGTAACTCTCATTCAAGTAATTGTGGACCGCAAACCACAACCTCAGTTTTTGTTTGCCAGTGCAGTTCTCCTGAATGCTGGGTGGATGGAGCCAGCTGTGGCAAAGCAGAGAAGCAGGTAGAGTTAGGATTTAACCAGCCTTGCCTCCCGTTTCTAGATATGCATCCTGCTCCTCCTTTTCATAATGTAGGTGCAGGGGTCCTCGCATTCTCTCTGACCCTGAAACTGAAGAATAAATGTAGCATTTCAGGCGTGTTTTCTAACTGTAAGATGATCATCTTTGTTATGCATGAGAGCTACACCGTAGATGGGAGAAGAATTTTCCAGAGGAAGAACCAGCAAAGCCACCGATGAAACTATACCACTGAGATGTATCTTCTCTCTTTAACCTTAACACTTGGCCTGGGCATTGGTCTTACCACAACTTATTTCAAACTCCTTGAAGATATCTTCAGTGTATTCTGGGCAAAGCACTTTAATTCCTGATTTCTTTTTTTTCCCATAGGAGGGTGGGGCTGAGAAGAGTAGGTAGGAAAGGAGGAAGCAAGCCTCTCTAGCCTTCTCTCTTGCTTTTCCTCTAATAGCCTGGGCTTCTTTCTACATTCCCCAATATGTCAGTCTCCTTCTCATGCCTCCTACCTCTGCACACCATTCTTCTTGCATATATATACAGAGAGAGAGAGAGAGAGAGAGAGAGAGAGAGAGAGAGAGAGAGAGAGTGAGTTATTATAAAGAATTGGCAAATTGGCTTATGCAATTACGGAGGCCGCCAAATCTCAAGATCTGCAGGGTGAGGAGGCAGGCCCCCTGCCGTTCTTTGCCTGACAAATTTCTCATCCTTCAAGTCTCATTCCTAACATAACTATTTATGTGAAAGCCAGTTGTCCCCATGGTGGATTTAGACAATACTCTCTTCTCTATGCTCCTTGGCTCACCCTTGTCCTGGTCTATTCTTTTAGGGCACGCTGTTTCTTTCCTTCTTTGTAATCTTCACCACTGGTAATGATGCTATTGTTTACTCATCATCTGTTTCTCTTATTAGATGCTATGTTCCATGTAGACAGGAACCATGTCTGAGATATATATATTTGCAGTTTCTAATCTATATATCTATGTATACACACACACACACACACACACACATATACACACATATATATACACACACGTATACACACATATATATATATACACACACACATATATACGTACATATATGTATATATATAATTTGATGAATAAATGAATGACTTATAGCAACAAGCATATCAACTACATACATGATACTTCATGAAATGATATGTTTATTTAGGGCAGTATATTTGGGTTTTCCAAAGAAACAACTCCAATAAGATGTATATTTTTTATATATTATATATGGTTTATGTATATTTACATATTATATACAGCAATAACATTTTGTTCAACATTGTTTTGTCATAATATTGAAAAGATGTAATAGGAATTTAACTCTTGTTCATATCATTGAGCCTATGATAAAATTGGTTTTGTTATATGTTGTTTTGCTTAAAGTCGCAGAACCTATAGACGATGTTAAGGACCTACTGTATATAATATATGTCCATATATTATATGTGTGTGTGTGTGTGTGTGTGTGTATACAGAGAGAGAGAGAGAGAGAGAGAGAGAGAGAGAGAGAGTTATCATAAAGAATTGGCGAATTGGCTTATGCAATTACGGAGGCTGCCAAATCTCAAGATCTGCAGGGTGAGGAGGCAGGCGGGAGACCCAGGAATAGCTAATGTTTCAGTTTGAGTCTGAAGGCAGAAAAAAAGCCACTATTCCAGTTTGAAGGCCATCAGGCAGGAAGAATTTTCTCTTACTTGGGGGAGGGTCAGTCCTTTTTTTCTGTTCAGGCCTTCAAGTAATTGAATCAGGCTCTCTCACATTAGGGAGGGCAATCTGTTTTGCTCAGTCTATTCATTTATATGTTAATTTCAGCCAAAAGCACCCTCACAGAAACACCCAGGTTAACATTTGACTAAATATCTGGGCACTCCATTATCCAGTTAGGTTGACACAAAACGAACCATCACAGGCAGGGGGTCTTTTTATCTTTGTATAACTCAAACTTTTTATCCATTGTATTTTTTATAGTCACTCAGGAAACGTTTATGAATCATAACACTGGGCAATGGAATGAAGTTTGCCTTAGAGGCTATGACTCATCTATGTCCAGTTAGAAAGGCTCTGCAAGATAAGTCTACTTTTAAGTTACCTTTTAATAAAAGAGCAAATAAATTTTGGTCTTTTCATCTTGAAGTCAAATTCCCCTATATTGAAGTCCTGTTAGAAGTGGATGCAATAAAGGAGTGATAAATTAATAACTTCCTGAAAATTCACAATTATTGTCTAGGTAGTTCTGAATCATATAACAGACTTTTTAAGAGATAAAAATAATAACTCCTTACTTACACGAAGTACATACAAAGTAAAGTCTCCCTGTAATCTGCATCTTCTCTCCAAGGGTAATCACGACTAACAATTAATTATGTGTCTCTCCAGAAGCACCAACCTTTAAACTTTATTTTTACATCTTCTCTGGTTGACAGTTCCACAGACCTCAGCATTTTGGCCACAGTTTTTAGTCCAATCACACTAGCTTATATGGCAGGGCTTGTAGAACACCCCGTCCTAAGTGAGGTTTTTGCTTTCTCTAAAGACTGAGGGTTCCCTCCAAGAATATGAGACAAGCACACCCCAAATCTACATTTTCATCATCCTGTTGTTTAAAAGCGTCCTGATAAATCAAAAACATTCCATAAACATCGACCAGCACTGAATTTATGTGCTGGACATGAAAGATACAAAAATGAACAGATCTTTGTCATCATCAAGAAAATTGACATCGGTGGTCACAGTCAACCTCACATTCCCATCCCTCGCCCACAAACTGAGCTATATCACACCCACCCTCAGAAGCTACAGCGTCTCTTCTGTTTGAAAACAATCTCTGCACACAGGCTCTTGACCCTTTCCCTTACGCTTCTGTTGTGACTTGACTCTCACTGCGGCAGAGCTTGCTGTTTGTCTACCCAACTTTGCTAAAGGTGATAATAGCTGGCTAAAAAAAAAACTACATTTCCCAGCCTCCCTATATGGAGTGTTCACATGATATAATTTTGACCAATAAGATATCAGGAGAAGTCATAGGGTGGGGCATTTGAGAAAGGTCTTTTAAAAAAATGTCTTCTGCTC